CAACACATCTGAGAGCAAATAGAAAGGAAATACCAGTCTGAGACATCTAGCAAAGTGCCTTTCAAACTTTCAAAATGCCTTTCAAATCTACTTTCAGGGAATCTCTGCCATGTAATTTTTTCTTAAGAAACACCAACTAATTTTGGTACTTGCAAAAAAAAAAACCCAAAGGCTCAAAAATCTCTGTAAATTATACTGAGTCTCATTTAAAATAGCAGCCATAAAAAATAACAGAATGATTCAATACCTGAATCAATACCTAAAAGACTCCATTAGTTTCTTAAGTCAATCTTTTAAATTAGTTTGTAATATTTCTAAGAGGATGTAAATTTCCATGCCATTTCCATTATGAGACCATTAGGATTTCATATGAGCAAATAGGTACATTTTATGATTGAAAGCACAGAATGCTCAGGCAAAAGAAACACCTGTGCAGTCATATATGAATTAAGGCAGTTAAACTTTATATGTAACTTTGATAATTGTACCCTTAGTTAACTATTATGCAGTTTTACTAGGGCCTTGCTATAAAAATAATAAATCCAAATGGACCCTGATTAGCTAAGGTGTGCATATTTCTAACCCTGAGTCATAGATACGTAAAGAGGATATTAGCACAGCATGACTAGACTGACAAGTGACGTATATGTAAGCAGGACTCATTTGACTAATGTTAAAAAATTGATAATTGCCTTTCTCCAGATAGTATTTAGACTGATCAAATACTGGAACTCATTGTATTTGTCTAAATAAAAATACTCATTTAAACAGTCAAGTTGGCAGTGTCACTGACATTTGTCAGTAATAGGTCTGCATGGCCACATCTTCTTCAACCATTTAGAGAGGAAATGAAACAACCTCTAGTAGTAAAAACTGAATACCCTAGAAGACAAGCAGGCAAAAATAAAGCCTCCAGTTTGTTTTTAACTTGATTTCCAACGTCTTCGACGGCAACAATATTATTCAAGAGAATTTAAAAGTCCAATAGCTGGTGTTTGCACTAACATGACGGAGGTGCGAGCAGTGACGTAGACTCTGTCTGCCCTCCCCTCTAGCCCTACCAAACTCAAGAACTATCCATTTTCAGGCTATTGTACACTGTTCCCTCTCCCAGAAATGGCCAGCTGTAGTCTCTGCCTAGCAGCCACACTCAAGCAAAGCCAATCCCTAGTATCAATGATAATTTCCATTATTCTCTAGTTCCTACCACAATATTCCCTCCCCTACATTCCTCTTTTTATTTATACTGCATTAGGTCAACATCCTACATTATAGTCAGTTTTATGAACATTCTCCCAATAGATAGGACAACATACTTTATTATCTGAATATCTCTGGTTCTAGCATATGGTACCCTAATGATACATGATTACTGTGTTGATAATGCTTACTTACCTTCAGACAGCCTGACTGGAAAAGAGATTCAATTTGTGACGGTCATAACAATTATTTTAAAAATAACTGAATAAATTGGTCTTCTAAAATTACTTCCCTTATTTACATAAAGTACAGAGAAAAGAAAACAAGGTCCGGTCACTTTGAATGAGGATGATTACCACTGCTATAAATAGCCTTGTATCTTGGCATAACCAGCAAAATCATTCTCATCTTAAATTATCACAGAACTAAGAAAAGTTATTTTATTTAAACGAGAAACCTTTTTTAGTTTACCAAAACATTGATCTGTACATTTTACATAGACCTTGGTGTAACTTTTAAATATTAGTGACAATTTAACAGTCACCATGTATTACAATTCAGATCCTAAAAAACACTGGATTCTATAATATACACCATAGGATCATATTAGAAGCAAAACCTCTTTTGTTACTTCTGTGGCTGGTCCTCCCTCCTCCTTCAAAGTCACCTCAACCCTGGAGACCTTTCTTTTTTAAGGTGGTAAAAATTTTTTTGAAGAACCATTGATATACAATCTTACGCTGGTTTCAAGTATACCACACAGTGGTTCAAACAGTTACCCATACTAGATCCTCACCCCCATAGTGTGGTTACTGTCTTCCAACACAAGAAGATGTTATCGATCACTGACTATATTCTCCATGCTGTACTACCATCCCCATAACCAACTTATACTATGATTGAGAATTTTTGTGCTGCTTTACCCCTTCACCCACCCACCCTAACCCCTCCCACCTTGGTAACCACCAGTCACTTCTCAATGTCTGTAAGTTTACTGCTGTTTTGTTTATTCTGTTTTGCTTTGTTTTTATATTCCACAAATAGGTGAAATCCTATAGTATTTGTCTTTCTCCACCTGGCTTATTTCACTGAGCATAATATCCTCTAGATCCATCCATGTTGTTGCAAATGGCAGTATTTCTTTCTTTTATGGTTGAATAATATTCCATTGTGTATATGTACCACATCTCTTTTATCCATTCATCTCTTGGGGGACACTTAGGTTGCTTCCGTATCTTGGCTATTGTAAATAGTGCTGCAATAAACATAGGGGTGCATCTGTCTTTTCTACTCAGGGATTTTGTTTTCTTCAGGTAAACTCCTAGAAGTGGAATTACTGGGTTAAATGGTATTCGGAGAGCTTTCTTAATATATAATTCTTTTTTAATGACTTTTTGCTTTAAATTTCTTCAAACTTAGGGTCTAAATATAGTGCTTCTAATTCCCAACCATTTATTCACATTTAGATCTGTTATTTTCTGGTTTCTGCTCCCAGAGAGTGTTTTTCTCCGATGTCTCCAATGTTTTTCTTCTAGATGAAACTATTAACCTGTATTTAGTCTTAATTTTCCCATGCTCTTTAGTTAAACTCTCTTCTGTTGGTTTCGTCAATACTAAATTTTTCGTTGCTTCAGCCATCTCTCCAAATGTTGCTCTCCTGTTTCCCCAGGTAGATCTTTTCCTCCTGTACCCAAAATCGTGGCCCTTTTCCAAATTTCTGTCCTTAGCTTTCAGCTCTTCTCCACACATGATCTTCTCTTGAATCCCCTAGAGATCCATTCTTGTGAATAGATTCAATGGCCACTTGTACACTGATAACTCTCAAGCTTATTGTCTGCAGCTTTGACTTCTCAGCTCTGCTCACATGCCCCCAACTGCTTGGACAGATGTACAGGTGCCCCACCGTGCCATCAGACCCTCCCAGAGGGTCATCACTTTCTTCTTGCCATCATCCCCATTTCTCTCAGTAGTCTACTGTTTGTTTTTTACCTCCCAGGCTGAACAGTTTAGAGTCATCTTGAATCCCTCTCTCCTTTATCCTCTATTCCCTACCGCCGAGTCTCTCTTTCTTCCTTCAAACTGTCACCTCCAGGATTCCAATGTTTCATCCCCACCTAGAGTTCTGGCCTTTATCACTCCATTCTGAGATCACCACCTCAGCTTCTTTGCTCTCTCCCTGACTATAGACTCTGCTCATTTCAATTTATTTTACATAGCATTGAGGTATTCAATTTCCTAAAACATTATTCTTCAAGCTCAGAGCAGTAAAGTATGTTGCAAATGCCATCAGGGCCATAAAGGAAAGAACGAGCAATTCCCTCCGGAGAATGGGTGCTTTCCCTTGGCCCCACAGTGATGCAAAATCCAGGCAGCCTGTTTCACCAGCTCTGTTGGTAATGATCTGATTGGCTCCCTGCTCCAATAGGCTTCTAACTTTCCCATGTGGGGTTCTTACATTTTCAACCCTACTACAAGTTCTGGGACCTGAGCCACGAAGGGCCAGCTCACCCCTGAAAAGGCTGCTCTGGGAATGCTACAGAAAATCTGCCTTTTGGACAGTTCTATTTAGTCTTTACCCAATTCTGGTAACAAGGTCTGGCTCCATGCCCCCAATCCCTGCTTTGGTTCAGTGCTCAGTTCCCTACGTCCCCTAAGAATGGGGTCCCCTAGTAATGGTGATCCTCAGATTGTCAGGGTCCTGCATCCAGTTCCTGTTACTGGAGCTCCTGACAGCAACAGCCTATCTGAGTGGCCGTTCACCTCTACTAGCTGCCCTGTAGTCTGGCTGGTTGACACCTGGCTCCTCGGGTGACCAAAGTTCCTGGCTCTCCTGTCATTTCCTGCTTCTGCATTTGCACAGCTGCCTCTTCAGGTCCTGGGACCCACCTGGGCTCTAATTCCTGTAGCTCTGCACACCTGTCAGATTTATCCTATACACAAATAAGCCCCAGGTACATTATTTTCCACCATTCCCCTACAAACTCTATATCTCAGTTAAATTCTTTTAAAAATAAGAAATCAGTCTTACTCCTCCCAAGATCTGGTTCAAAACCCCAGCTCCTTTCTGAGGCTGGCAGGTCATCTCTTCCTCCTCCAAGGTTCAAGTGCACAGTCATCAGTCAGTATGATGTGCTGCATGCCTACTATGGGGCAGGCTCTGTGCTGCACACAGAACACTGTGTGAGCCGCCAGCAGTGAATAGTCCCAGAGTGAGGACTTACCTTCTATCAAATTAAGATTATGTTTGCAAAATGCATCACTTTTAAAAACTAAAAACCAAAATGAGCCCTCAATTGGCACAGATTTATTAGATAATTCATAGTTCATAAATTTCATTTATTCTCAAATCTAATTTGAGAAAGCAGTTCTACACCTGTAATTCAGATCTCTGTATGATAATTCTACTGCCATCTAGTGTCTACTAGTAGAAATAGTCAGCAGAGTGAAACTATAAGTAAAAAATACTCCATACAGGGACTGAGTTATAAAATCTTTTCATATCTAAATCAAGTTAATAATGCCCAATAAGCAAAAGACATGGGTCTACATTCAATAAAAAGAAATCTTTGTCTTCTAACTCTGAGATACAAGCATTGTCTTAAAATCACTTAAACTCATTGACACCAATAATGCAGTATCCTACTTCAAAAGAACAATTCAAATATATTGTTTAATAAAAGAAGCCTAACATGTATTTTCTTCCACAGTATATGAATACATAATTCACCCTTTATATGAGCCACTTGAAAACTATCAATGAGAGGCTAAAAGAAATGACAATTAAGAAAAAGTGGGCTTACCTGAAAGTGCAAAATTATTGTCCATATTAATCCCAAAGTCAACTTGGGATTTCCATCTGTTATGTCATCATTTCTAATGTTGACTAATTTCACCTGTGTTATACATTAAGAAGAGATAAAGCAAAGTGTCTTTCAACTCAGCATGAGTCATCTTTACATGTATAAAAACAACTCAAAATTACACAAAGAAAAAATATTGACTGATTTTAGTACCAGTAATCCTTAAAATACTGTCTTATTCCCACCTCCATCCATTCTAGACTGTAAATTATAGAGTAGCCACAAAGGAAAAATGGTACTATTTTGGTTTTGCCCTCTAGAGCAAATATTGAAAGTAGTGAGTTGTCAAAACAAAAACATAACTCAAGTTGAGAAGTCCTAAATACTCAAGATTTTTAAATTAAAAATAATTTTGTCTTTTGGATATAATCTTTTACTCTTACCATTAAGTAAGAAACTGTTCTAACCAATAAAATGTTTTTAACAACTTTCTCTTACTTCCATCACAAAGGGTGAACAAAAAGTAACATTATTCTTCTATTTGTCTACCATAAATTGTTACCAAGTAAATATATATATATATATAAAGTCACTGGATTTTTGGACTGCTCACGTATTAAAGAAAAACACACAATACTCAGACTTAAAGTTAATCAACTGCCCAATTACACATGTTCAGGTAAATAAATGTAATGATGATACCCCTAATGTTTACTTCCTAAACAAAAAATTAAATATCATGAATTAAATATGAAAAATTAAATACAATGAAATCTAATATTTTACTTCCTGGACATAATTCTATCAAAATCATTTCAGACAAGGCAGTATAGTTAGCCATTAATTCTTCTGGAAACTTCCACTAGAATTAAGAATAATAAGGCAAATACAAATAACATTTAAAATATTGAAGCACTGAGTGTTTGGTAGAACTTCAGTAAATAGACGACTTTTATAGTAAACTAAATAAATGAATAATAAAAGATAGTGTTTCTCACTCTCCCTTTTTCCGTCCCTTTCTTTTTACCTACTCCATTAACAAGCAAAATTGCTGCCACCTCTGATTTCTCATTGTTTTCAGTAACTTTGAATTCTCCTGTCTTTTTCTTTTTTCTACTAATTGAAAAATTACTGATACTTTGGCTTATATCACTATATTACACAATGCCAACAAATCAAGATCATACCCACCATGGTGTTCATTCTTTTCCACGATTTATTCTAAAACCTCAAGTTACTTGGAGACTGGTGTGAGAAATTTTGCTTTATGTGTTAAACACTTACAAATTACCAGATACTATCTACTTACAAAAGTAAAATACTGCCTCACCACTTTCATATTAAAAATGCTTACAACTAAGCTTTTTTAAGGTATTATAAAGTATTTTTATAAAGCAATTTTATATACTAAATATAAAAAATAAAATATTGCCTCCCCACTGCTAAGAACTGTTCACAGGCCTTCTTAACTTCCTGTTGCTACTAAATGTCATTAGCTTCCTAGGCAAAAGCATTCCATATCTAACAGAAGGAAAAGCAGTAGCTTTTTTCAGATGTAAATGTAGCCACTTATAATTCTTCTGGGCTTACACCTACTATGAACTTCCTTTTCTTTGGAGCAGAGGTTTAAAAATATTTTTAAATATCTGCCTCAGGAAAGCAAAGATTGAATGATTCTCATTCAGAGTGAAATCTGGCCTCTCCATTTCCCACAGTGTTTCTACGTAGCTTTACTCAGTCACCTAGGTTTACACTATTACAGACTTTGAAAAACATCATACCTGGCGTCTTTTCAAATAGTCGAGTGCGATCTGCACGTTCTGTAGTCTGTGAAAACGCATCCGACCTTTCTCTCTGGGCTGAGAATAGAAAAATGCAGGCTATAAAAAAACTGGGTAGTTTCTGATACCACTGAACATGCTAAATACACTCTATAAATACACTTTATGTTCATCTTAACATGTCAAAACAGGATTTACTGCTTGTGCAGACCCCAATTTTTAAAGATATTTCTAATTCTTTTGTATTATCTGGGATCAAATTTAATTAAACTTCTAAGGGTTTCTCCAAATATGTTTTGTTTAGACATATGCTTTATCTCAGGTGTTTTATTTAAACAAATAATAAAGAAAAAATACCATTGGACATATATATTTTTTATATTTGCTATACTACAATTCTAGCCTACAGTTTGTTTAGCTGTGGATGCACAAAAAGAATTAAATACCATTCCCCATTTTGCCTCCCTAATAAACTCTAACTGGAGTTTCAGTAATTACACACACATGGCATGTTAATGAAAATGAGGTAAAGTAGCATGCAGTTAGCAAAAAATCACCAAGGAGAGAGACAGTGGAGTTTTACTAAGCCATGATAGAGGAAGACAAAAGCAATGAAAGCCAAGTATTTCCTCTTTAGTTTATTTCAGTTTTTCTAGAAAATTGGTTGGACTCTATAACAGCTGCACATTGCTTCAGGATGGATATGATTATTACTGTCTCAGGAAAACTGAAAAACCACGATTATTTTCCTTGATGTCATTCTGATGCCGTTTCCCTTAAGAAACGTCACAAGTCAGCAGAAGGAAAATGTAAGGTAACAGAGCTAAGAAAATGCTTAACTGAAAGCACAAAGAATGGAGCTGAAATTTACCACATAAAGTCTTCCAAAGGGGAAAAAAAGAAAAGAGAAAACTGACAGCTTAGTTTCTCAAAAATGAATAGGTTGCTGAAGCCAGAGGCACCATGATGAAGAGACAGCAGACCACAGAATGGAAAAATAGGTTCTATGTCACAGGTAGAAATGATGTTGATAAATACACCCATTGGATCCAAAAAAAAGCACAATGTCCAATGAAATCAGAGTACATCAGGTATGGAGATGACAAAAGAGCACCTCTATCTTGCAAAGGTGAGCTGAAGTCAACTAATTGTCACCAAAGGAAACAGCCATAGGAGTTCTTCAGGGGCTCTAGATTTTAAAACCTTCCCCCTTCTAAGTAAGACATAGAACATAAGTAAAGAATATCCACCCAGTGCCTACTGCCAATATGATTTAAAGCATGAACTTAAATATTAAATAAGTTTCCATAAGTTCTTTCAGAACAAGCTACAAGTAGTTGCCACGTTTGAAATAAAAATTCCAAAAGTGGAAATTTGTCAAGATTTCCATATTTATGTAAAAATATATATAAAATTCTTTGGCTAAAATGCCATCATATAATTTAAGCATATATGTTCAGCTACCATGCAGTGCACAGTAATGTGTAAAATGTAAAGAGAAAACGATTTTCTTTGTCCAATTTTGTGGTACACACACATCCCCCTCACTGTGGGATTTGGTCCTTTCTACAGTTTTCTAGAAAGAAGCCCAAACCCATGGGTTACTTCTCTACCACGTTAGCGCTCACCGCACTGTAACCACTAGGTTAGTCACGTTATGGGGGCCGACACCTACCCCCTTATCCTCATCCTCCACATCCTCATGCTGTTCATATTCGCATGCTTCTGTGGCACTCACCAATCGTAAGGTCTTCAAAAAATCTCGCTCCCTTGGCTAATGAATATAACAGACAGAAGATAGGACAGCAAAGACACAAGACACACCAGAAACGAAAAGAAGAGCATGAACAGAACATAATGAAGGAAAACAGGTAACCAAGAAAGGGAAGTAATGTTCACACAAAAAGGAAATGACACCTGTGGAATGGGGTTAGACCATTTTTCAGAAAGCAATGTTTATCACCTTGCTATTTGTGAGTCTTTTAATATGTGGTTATATTATGCATCCAAATTCTGCTGAGCAGAAAAAAAAAAAAAACCCAAAGGTAAAAAAGAAGCAAGAAAATAGTATTTTAATTACAGAATTGATTATATAAGCAAAGTAATCAATAACCAAAGTGCTTCAATCTCCCAAATTCACAGTATTGGAAGTCTGAAAATGATTAGGAATCTAACCACGCTCACTTTTTTTTCAGGCAGAATTCACAGCTCAGAAGACAAATGCTGTAAAAGCCTATACAGTCTGTGCTACAAACATACTGGTCATATGCAGAGAGGATTACACGTTCTTCAAAATAAATTTTAAAATGTAAAACTTACCAGGGTATCTCCCGAAAGAACCTCTAAAAGGGAGATCAAATTGTGTCCATCCCTTAAGTCTTCATAGAGATCATTCACATGCTTTCGAACCTACACAGAGAAAAACTGTTTAAAACTTTTGGTCCTAGAACGCCAGATCATCCTTACTACTCGAACAAGAGAGGGGAGAAGTAGAAAGCAACCCTCGGATGATGTTGACTTGTGAAAGAATTTTTAAATTTTGATTCTCTCATTACTTAACAACTAAATTTAAATTTACAAACTAAAAACAGTGAATTTCAAATTAGTAATACAAAGGCAAAGTATTTGTATTTACATTCTAACATTTTAGTATAAGCCCGGACAATTACAGTGGGTCACCATTTTTTAAATGCACGCAGTGGCAGTGGCCTTATTCATGATTCCGATGCAGCAGACAGAGCCACCTCAGTCCATCTTACTGGAGTGAGTTTTTACCCCCCAAGGTGATCTTTCTACTCTTTGTGCTACAAGATTCAGTGTGGAGATACATGCTGCACACTTTAAAATCCACAGATATAAACTGGGTGAAGGGTACACAGACTTTATGTACTACTTTTGAAACTTCCTCTGAGTTATTCCTGTAGTGATTTTAAAATACAGTTTTCCAATATTCATGTATGTCTGGTTAGAGGACCCGTGCCACAACCATCCTCTGAAAAACATAAATCTTACGATGGAGGGTTTTCATAACCATGTTAACTGTGACACAAAGTTAACACTCAACCTACCATCACTTCTTTCTCCAAACCACAGGCCTGATTTAAGCTTGTGATTTGAGAGCTCAAACCACCAAAGATTTCCCAAAAGCCTGTTCAGTCTGCCAAGAAGTGATATCTCCCATAAATACTCAGCTAAAAAACCTACTATAGGTTGATGCTAGACAGTCATGTGTTGAAGAAGGCTATTAAGATGGCTGTCCACATTGGGTTAGCATATTTCCATTTTCTTGCCTTTTAGATTAATGCTAGGCTACATCAACTTTGCACCGCTCTCATGAAAGGAGCCAAAGAATGGTCTAGAAAGAGGCAGAGATCAGAATGACACTGAAATCACACGAAGAGCACAAACCGTAATATGCTTGCCAGTCTGCGCAGTGAAATCTGAAGGTTTTCTAAGTATGAGTCAAACTTTCTTGCACTTCCAAAATGTCAAGGGAACATACAGCATAAAATAATAAAAATATCTAAAATATGATCAAAATTATCTGACTATAAAACAAGCAAGGCCTGATGTAACCTGGAAATGAACCTTTCAGTTAAGTGTTTCATTCTAAAGAAGTAGTTTAAATGCCATTAAACTTTATTATCTTAAATTACTATATACATGTTTTGCAGTATCTTTCATTAATGTCAGAAAATATTTTTTGTTGATGAAGAAAAAATTCCCATAAGAGTATATATCAAATTTACTGGCTTCTATACCCAGTATTTTGGGATTTTTTTGCCTAAGTCATAGACTCTTTCGATCTTTCTAAGTCAACCCATCTATGAATCATTAACTAAATAATACAAGTACTAACAATCTCAATAGCTCAAAGTAACAATAGTGTCAGTAGCATCTATAAAACAGCCAGTAAAATTGAAAATGAGTCAAATTACTTCTAAACCAAGTATCCCCATCTTCACAAACTGACATTTTGATATCGTAACTCCAAAAGAATGTCAGCTGAAATAGTTTCTATCACAGGATAATTACACAACAGTAAAAGGAAGTTTAAAAAATACTTTATTTGCCTAAAATAGCATATCCTAACACATTTTAGGCAATCCTTATTTAAAAAATCTATAAGTATCCGAATAAGTTACAAAGGAAAATGACAATCCTCTCAAATAATTAAATTTCAGAGATGAATCAAGAGTCTTTTTAGGACACATCTACTACATACATGACACATGCATGCAGATAAGCAACTTGGTAAAATGGGGGCTAATACTAATTTTCAACTCACATATTAAGAGTACTGTAAAAATTCACCCAGTCCCCTTCCAACCCAGTTTTAATATATAAGGCTAAGGGCCTACTTTAAAACAAGGCAGAAGAGCTAATCTTGTTAATTTCATGCACATCAATGCATCTAAACCGATGTTCTACTCTGTGTATCTCCAGTGCAACCAGAAAGCAGCCTAACCCTAAAAGAGCCTGAACAGAAACATGAGAGATCACAGTTGTATCACCAGTAGTGTGTAGTTCCTGATCCTCAGCCAGTTGCTTAATCTCTCAAAATAAATGACTTCATTGTGCAGGTCTGACATCCTCAGCTCACAGAAGGGACAGTGGAATACAAGTGTGCCATCAGGACGGGGCCTCCCATGGCAGTAATTTAACATACGGTGCTGTGAATTCTGTGCTTCCTGGTCCACTACACACATCCCACCCCAGGCACATCTCATTCCAAATCCACTTCCGATGTCACTCTCACTCCAGGACAAAGACAGCGTGTGATTCTGAACACTTACTTCATAGGAAGGCAATTTCCCAACTTGCTTGGCCAAGCTGAACTAAACCTCCTTCATCAGAGACACCTTCCAAAACCAGGCACCATTTTTCACCATCATGTTTATACCACAATGAAGAAAAATTCAATCAGGCATGTTTGGAGAAGAATGATAATATGTCATGCAAAAACCAAGTTAGGAAAAGAGAAAACACATTATAAGGCAAAAAGAATCAGAAGCCTTGCATCTCAGTCTTGCTTTTGCCACAGGCCTCATGAACCACACCACCAGCAGCTGTCCAAACTGTCTAGGCCTCAATTTTCTCAAGGGCATAATTTAAGCTGGAAAGCCTATACTTCAGACTAGAGAACAAAAATTCTACAATCTAAAAATATAATTATCATCATTTTTTAAAATCACTGTGTCAACTTAAAAGGAAATATGTAAGTTAGAAAGCTGCTCTTAAGTCTTGTGGCTTAATTTCTTAAGAATTTTAGAAGAAAATACAGAAGCAGACTAATTTAACTTCTGCAATGCTTGAAAAAACCCTGAGACATTGGTCATGAGGTAATACTGCCTCTTTCACCTGCCCAGGTGTTTATTCTGAAGGTCCAGAGAAACACTGTGTATGAAACGTACTACATAATGTCAGGTATCATAATCATCTTTGCCACTGTATGCAAAACAAATTTCACTCATTAAAACAAAAATACACAAAGAATTATTAGGTACATGATCCTATTTTGAGTGCTTTTTAAATATTGGTTCATTTTCCTCACCACCAAAAAAAAAAGGTGGGGGGTAATAGAAAATCTTAATTAGAAGTTAAAAATCAACATTATGAGGAAGGAGTGGTAGTGAATGAATTGAATGGAAATAGAGTTCTAGAGCAATATATCTGATCAAGTGATCAACTGAAGGGAGAAAGAAGAAGGAATTAAATCGTGCAACGGCTACAGAAAAGCTTTTTTATGTTGTGCTCAGTCTGAGTCAGACATTTGGCCTGGTAAGTTTCCTTCACAGATGACTACACCACCCGCCAACAGTCTTCACCCTCCATTTCCAACTTTTAATAAAACAACTCTTCTCATTTGGGGCGTTTTTTTCCCAGTGGGACAAAAAACTGAATAAACAGTGCTAGAGGAAGTGATGAGCAGAGTGAAAGCACTTTGAGTTATTCTGGGATTAAATTATATAACTTGAATTACATAATAAGGATGAAGCATCATTTTCCATATTTCATACAAATTCTCCAAGAATTCTGCAGCCCTTTTTAAAATGTGTGCAGTGCCCTGCATCTGCAGTTCACCCCCAGAGGGCACTACTCCTTTGCTTAAGAAGAATATCTGAAGGAAAGAAAATAAAGTAGAAAATGGAGGGGTGAGGGAGAGATAGAGATTATAAATAAGGTGCTGGTGATACTGACGGGCAGCATTTCAAATTTATTTTTGCTGGTGATAATGACAGGCAGCATTTCAAATTTATTTTTGAGAGAGAATAGAGCATGCCAGGCCTGTATCATCTCAATGGCTTACCTGATCAAAAATACTGTAAACATTTCATTTTCACTTGTAATTGTTTGGTTTTATGTGGGCTAAATCAAATTTAACTTTTAAGATCATTACATAGTTGTTTGTGTAATACTGCCATGTTCAAGTAGTGGTTGATGTTAATCTAGACAAACTCTACAAAAATATTACTTCTCGTATTTAAAGGTATTGTTCCCATGCAGTTCAATCCAGGTCACTAAATCATTTTGAGTATCCATCATATGCCACGGATACTCACTTAGTCCAAGGGTACAATGATGAGGGAAGGGAGTGCTACCTCTTGAAGCCCGCAGTCTGCAGCGACAGCAATTCAGCGAGAGGCTTTAACCAAGTCTGTGGAAGAAGTCCTCCCAGCAGAGAAAGGAAGGTTCCAATGAGAGAGAAAAACAAGAACAAAGAAAAAAAAGGCAAGGATGTATGCAACTGAGTGGTAGCTCCAAGGACGGAAGGCAGTCTGTGAAATCGGCGAAATGCGAGGCAGCAGGTGCGGTAGGAAAGGTGGTCTGCCTACCATTTTAAGGAGACTTTCCCAAAGCAAAGAGAACCACTGCAGGCATTTAAGCAAACAAGGGCACAGTATCTCCAGCAGTATGAAAGTTTCCTGGTAAACTATTATCTTGAGCAAACTCATATCACAGATAAAGCCAAGGGGCCAATCTGTATGCAATACGGGAGGGAAGGTCCCTCAGAAAAGCAAAGAGAGGGGGCATTAAGTCCGTGTTCCCTGGGCAAGAAGCACAGCGGCGAGGAGCAAAAACAGCAGCGACAGCCGGATGCACGTCCTCTCTTCAAGCAGCCCTACATCTAAAGGATACAGTATTCTGGAAAACAACTGCTATCTTTAAAAAGGAACATAAATAAGAAAAGGTGCTTGTCCTAGATGAGATCGCCACCAGCCTTGTACTAATGGCATGAAGAGAAGGGGGACAGTCAGCTTCAGGGAAAACCATGAATTTAAATGTTTTATCAATGCAATTTTTTTACTTCAAACAAATACACTCATGAAAAATAAGCTACCATTCTCTTGGGAGAACCCCTTCGTAGGCTTACGCCAAAAAATAAATAAAAATAATCTATCAATATC